ACGTATGTTAGGCCACTCGATCAAAGTTGATAGGCACCTTGCGAGTACCGGAGGTACTCGGTGAACAATACACTTCCGGCGCGGCTGACAAAGACGCACGGCGCGTACACCGGAGGTTCGGCATCGACGGGGAGGAAGGTCGGAGAGGAGGACGTACGTTTGATTCCGTATAGGACGGCGCAATACATCTCTCCTCGGTTTACCGGTCGCTCGCTGAGACGGAAGTGTATCGTGCCCGCCGAAGCGGGCACATCCGGCTCGCAAGATTAATTGCCAATAAACCTCCATTACAGAGACCTCTTCCCGCGCCGTCACTCTTCTCACGATATCGCGTCGTTTGCCGGTCAATCGCTTCGTACGCAACAACTTCGATCGCCTCTACTTTTTTGAGACCCTTTGATGAGGATAACGAGATAACCGGAAATTAGATTATTCAGCGTCACGCTTTTGCAACAGAGAAGAAAAGAACGTTCAAAAAAATGCGGCGACAAATTATTGATCATGTAAAAAGATAATTTATGACAGAAACGATGTAACGCAACTCAGAGACGCGCAATTTATTTCTCTCGGTTATAACGATTCACAGCGACCGTCACGATTATTCACGCAATACGAGCTGTCTCGAAACAAAATGCGCTGTCTCGCAAGAAGATTGATAATTTATTACCTTAAAGCGTCTAAATTTATGCTATGTCTTGAAAATTTGGTATTAGAAGGATTTGTACGATAAAAGAAAATACACAAAAAATTATGTGCATTTCCATTTCAATTTAAATGTTTTACATTTCAATTGACACACAGTGTGAAAAACATTACTAACAAATTGTTACTGGTATGCACATGTTTTTAATTACATGATGCATGACTTCGCGCTTGGAAATTGCATTTATGCAAATGAGGTGACTATCTGAAAAATTTGACATAGAAAAATGATAGCAGTTTGCGTGCTTAGAAGCTGCGTGATTATGCATGCAATAAATCTCGCTTCGAAATCGCCAAGTGAATGCTTAGGAACACGTGCGAATCGATCGTAGCCTATCTTGCACCTCCGCCTGGTAATCGAGGGAAATTGCTTTCATCTGAATTCAAAAGCATGTACGGGAGATCAAAGTTCTTACGTGCCGACGATGACGAAACGAACGGACGATGGTGCGAAGAACTTATCACGCGAGCGTCGATTAAAGTTTCCACCTTGCACCTGGTTTCATGAATTTCTCAACCATGATTGATCGTTCCGAAGAGCTTTCAAAATTGTCATCTTTGGTTCGAACATATTCTGAGCGAATGTTAATAAAGGATGACAAGTATAATATTAGTGGCTCCTCATGAATAATTTTTATATTAATCCGAACATTAGTTTCTCTTCTTTTTGTGTATGAGATATAAATTCGTTGTGATTGACGTAATACGCGTAATTTGGAAGCCGACAATATCTGAACCGTAAGAATACGGACGGAAAAGTTTACCGCTTATGAACATCGACAGAATCGATACCCGCATATCACGAAGGTATGGAGGAAAAAGAGGACGGCTGAATGAAAGAGAGGGTAAATTGATGGAACGCTCCGATTAAAAGCTAATGACATCGCGTTTCTACGCGAATGACGGCTTCAAAGGAAAGCTTTTTCTGAAGTTCGCTGGCTTGACAAACGATCGTAAGACCAACAAGAAACGATGTCTGGCGCGAACCATCTTAATGAAATGGTCTTAATTGAACCAATAGATTAATTTTCTGTATTATATAGAAAAAATAATTTAATATGTAATATTTTTAATCGTTTATTATTGTTTATTATTGTTTAACATTTCTGATTTAACATGTTTTTATCAATAAACAAGAAATATATAATGTGAAAATGATAATAAATATTAAACAAACAAAAGTAAAGAGATTAAACAGTTTGTAAGATAAAATATACAAACATATAAATAAAATAGCATCTTTGACTATTAGTATTACTACTAATACTATTATTATCTATTATTACATTATTATAATATCTACCAACTAGTAAACTACGTGATGGGGGTCTCTGCAGCTCTGAAAAGCGGATATTTGTTTGGGCGAGTCTATGGAAGTCCATGAAAGTCCACAAATCTGAGAATATCCTTTCTAGATTTATAGCAATCTCTGTAATACCCGCAATTTCCAAAAAGAGTGGACGTGCAGGAATATGTCACTCTCTATGCGACCGTTTTCTCGGGAAAATCCTGCTCTTTCATATAGCAGTACGTGCATCGCGCTTGACATATGCCACAAATTATTATTTTGACATTTCAGATCGCCCCTTATTTCTGCATCTGAAACTCCCAATTCCCGTGTCTCGCGAAATCATGATGTAAAAGCTTTCATCAATCATTTCAACAAAATGAAAATATAGATGACCGGCGACAAGAAAAATTATGTAGAAAAAAGACGGCCGCTCTGGAGCCGAGATACATTATTGTCTTTGCTTTTTTTTCCGAGTTACATTGCGTTTTTCACTTCCCGACTGTCCAAGAGATGGATATTAATTAGCAAGTAGCAGTAACAATATACGTGCTCAAGCACGAATAACAATGGGATAAATGTCGTTAATCGTGGAATATTTAGAACAATCGCTGCACAGAACGTAGATTTTTCTTGCGACGAGAGAGCAATTAGGGAGTCTATCTATATTTAAATTTTAATGCCAGGCTCTCAGTACGTTTTGATGTATCATTTAGGGAAAACAGTGATTCGTTACAATACATTAAAAAGTCATATTTCTAGCGGAATATATGTATGTTATCAAAAATGACTAGCAGAGAAAATTTATTTAACCCGCGGTGATATATAACGATCGCGATGTAATAGCGCACTCAGTTATAAATCTTCATCGTATTTCCACTGTAATTTGTGATGTCTCTCTTATCTTTACACACAGATAAGTTCATACTTTTGTATTAACTATAATGTATAATTTATTAGGGAAACAGTCGTAAAATCTTTTACATCTCGTTGTTACTCATTCACTTTTCGGCTACCCGGTGAATAAAGCCGATGCTGTGGGTGTCGTCGCATCTGGCGCTATAGGAACAATTAGAAGGACTCATGAGCCATTGGAATTAACACTCACAACGGCGCGGGCGAATATTTACCGGCGTGTTATGCGGCCCGTAGTGTGCATGGGCTTGTTCAAGAGACAATAGACTTGCCGAGTAAGCCGTCCCGAGAAGCGCGACGATACACCGAGAATATCCTTGTTGAAGATCGTACAGACGCTTGCCGTGGAGATACGAGGGGAGGACATTATATCGGTGATTATATCGGTAGATGCTGATAGTGAGAAAATGGAACCTCGATGTCAGCAATTGGAAGGTACCACTCCAGGCCTCATTGACCGACCTCTTCACCTCACGCCAAGAGGACAATACCGATCGCGAGAACCTGCCTTCGTCGCGACAATCGAGCAGCCAATTTTCTTCGGAAAAAGACAACGAACTTGTTCGTCAACGTCAAATGAGTGTGACAATTTATTTTACAGAAAAATCAAACAGATATAACGTACTAATCTTCCGAAATTGACACCAAAATTTCTAACACAATTATTGTTAGTTACATTGTGTCTGTAAGATTCATTTAATTTCTGTTAATTAAAAAATACTAATTAACCTTAGGAAACCAAAATGACACAACTTATTGTATAAAAAAATTAAATATTATATATATGTATATTTTAATTAGAATAATTTAATATGAATCCAAATTTATGAATGTAAAGAAAATTGAACCGTTTGATATTTTTGACAAAGAAATTTATAATTGAATAAATTCCAATAGTTATCTGCGCCAGCTCTGAAGGGTTATAATTACAATATCAAGTAGGGGTGACCGGGGGTCAGCACCATGAGTCACAAAAATTCAAACAGTAAAAAATACATTAAAATGTAAGATTTTTAGTTTTAATTTTTTTATATAATTAAGAGATAATGTATATTTTATTGAGCACATTTTTCATAAATATTGTTTTCTAATAAAAATCGAAAAAGAAATTTTTAGAAATAACCCATGGTACCCCATGCCCGCGGTACCATGGATCAGACACATATGTACTCTTAAACGACATTCTTTTTTATTTTCTAACCATTTTTATCGTGTTTTCTGAAAGAATATAAAAGAATCTGTATTGTCCAATTTTATCACGAAAACTTAACCTAGTCTAAACCGATGAGAACCTATTCAGACAAATTTGCATAGTTTATACATAATCATATGTATAAAGAGATTTATCTAATTTTATCATAAAGACACGCGTGAATTACATAATTTCTTTTATGTATATACGGTTCTGCAGCTACGCAAATTGTTTTAAACGCCTGTTACTATATAACTTATAGTGCCCCAGCAAGAGATGATCCATAGTGCCCCGGTGTGTCTAATATAAAAGACGGTGAAATATAACATCGAGGTAAACAATAAATGATTACCTGCACTGCAGAGAAAATGCGGAAAGATGTGTAGAACCACGTATGTAACTCGTAATAAGTATATTATACTTCGTAGAAACAAAACGTATAAGAAATTTTGACAGGTAAAATAATCACTTTCGCACCACGAGATTCTTTAACAGTATATGTACGGAAAGATAACAAAAGTGGATCACTGTCATCTGGATAGTATGGCCAACTAAATAACAATCATATGATACCAATTGCACCAACCTAAACATTTTGGATTTTCTTAAGCAATCAATGATCCATAATGACTCCATGACCTATGGAGCCCCGGTTTCCTCTATACTTATTATTAATTAAAATATTATGTAATGATCTAATGATAATTATTATTGTTGTTGATTTCAGATTGTTGACTTTTTGCTACTTGGCAGCGTTGAATTGTTGGCTGCTGCTGTGTCCGGCTATACTGTCGCACGATTGGCAGATGGGATCTGTTCCTTTGGTTACGTCTTTTACGGATACCAGAAATCTGGCCACCTGTATATTCTTCGGCGGTTGTCTGGTTCTCACGTACAAAGCCTTCACGGATTTCGAGGTGAGTAAAATAATCTTCAATTATAATTAAATTATAATATTACAATTAAAGGGAATACCTACGTATGGAATAATGCACAAATATTCTTTAAAACGTTTGAAAAATCGCTTATACCTCCTTTACGGTTATAATTAAGCTTTAGTAGACTTTATTAGTAAAGGAATTTAGTGAAATTTACATAAACTCGTATCCTTTACTTTATTTTATCGAATCGATGTAAAGAAAGTTATTTTTCTCAAGAGGCACGTATCGTAGATTCGTCGACGTTATCGGTCACCTTACGAGATCATAAAGCGGAATGACCACCAGTTATCGTCTGCGAAATGTCATCCTGCCGTTAAATGTTTCAACCGTTGACCTAGCATAACATAAGAAACGTAGTACTCCAGTATCTGTCGGTTATCGTCTACAATGATGAAATTGTGCTCGGCTCGAGAGTTATAAAAGAAGTTTTGTAGTAACTACATGATACAATAGCTTCAAGTCAAACGTTAACGCGCGTATCTCGTAAACTACTTTTATTCTCTGTGTCTTTTGGATCATCGTGACGGTCGTTGAGCCTTCAGCATAATGACCTCTTTAAGGTTCGCTGTCTGTACGTCGATGGTCACTTTTCCTCAAAGAGGTCATATCTATGCTTTTAATGTCATCTCACACGCTTGACTAACCGCCAGCGGTTACCTAGCTCTTCGCAGGCACGAAGTAGAAACAGATGTCTTCTTAAACGGGGTCATCCTTATTCTTATGCATGTAGCACATTTATGTGTAAAGAGAAAATCTTTTTACAAATGTAATTGTTTTCTGTCATCGCGTGTGTATATCTAGGAATTTATTAGCGCAGTTAGATTTCGCAAATATGTCTCAAAACTTATATATATTATATATTATTTTCTTATCCCAATAAAAGAGAGAGAACGTTAATATGTATAATATTTCTTTTAAAGAAAATTAAAATAACGAAATTATATTTTTAATTTTAACTAAAATTTGCTACAATAGATTTATAATGTAATATAAATCAACGTCATCACATTAAATAAATTATTTTTGGTAAATTTTTTAAGATAACGATGCTTGCTTTCACATGTCAGAGAATTACATCTTTAATTTTATCAATAATGTTATATACCTATTAGGTATATCTAATCATTAAACAAGCTAATTTGTCGTCATTTTGAAATTAAAATAACGTTATGACGTTTATCAAAATAATCTATTCAATAATAACAAAAATTTTCTAAAAATATAATTATTAAAATAATTTTAATTTGTACATAATTTATTCTATGTATGTATTATATTCTTTATAATTATTTGAAAGGAAACAATTGGCAAAATATCTTATTTTTCACATACACACACACACACACACATTATAGTATCTTAATTTATTATTATCATCAGCTTGTAATGCTTGTATTCTTTTGTCCATTTGCATATTCTCTACAAATTCATTTTAGCTAATGCTGCAGCTTCTTTCCTATAATATACACAGATTCTTTCCTTTATATTACCATATTTTTTGCTTCTCATTACCCTTTAACTTTAATAATTCTGTATACAATATATATTTTTTAAATTTCTAATTTCCAGTCTCGAGCAAATTTAAAAGATGTTGTAAAGATCTCATAAAGACATCTTGTGGGATATACATGTTTAAAAAAAAAAAGATATCTGAAAGGTATTATTATAAAGATATCTTCTATCAGATAAACAAAGAGTGTTGTCTAAGATAATATTATCTAAAATTATCTTTTTGAGAGAGATTATCGACAGATACTAATGATGCACCCGATATCCGTGCATTCATTGCTATCTCGTTCGATTTTTCAAGAAAATGTATTATCCATTCACGATTCAACGTTCAAATTGAACGACGACGATATATTTTTGACGAGTTTTATTTATTTATGTTTTTGATACCATTTTGAGATATTGCATCTGCGAATACCGTAGTATTTGTAACAGCTCCTTCTCTGTTACTAACATTATTTTTACTTTGTTCTACTCGGTCTTTCACTTTACTGGAGAATGTCGTTTCTATGGATTCTCGCTGAAGATTTGTATTGTATTCGTGTTCTGTCTATGCTTCTGCACGTGAATTGGATAACGATGCTACCGTTGTTATGCCACTTTGATGTTCGTCTTTGATAACGTTGGCGCTCGTTTCTTTTTGCGCTAACATGGTTATATATTTCTAACATTCGCAAAGAATTTATTTTTCTATGCATATTTTTGTTTATGATTTGCTCTTTACAACTAGAATTAGACATTGAATTCTTTTACACAAATCAACTTTGTACATTTTTAAGATTATTAAAAATGATTAAAATGACTGACTTTTATAAGTTTGCAATAATTTTTTCTTAAAAGATTATTTAAATTCTTTATTTTTGTCTGTGATTTTGCATAGGAATTATGTCACCAAATCTTGCATTAATTTATCTTGAAATTTGTTCTAAACTTTTTAAACTGGAAGACATCGTCTGCACTGACATCGCGACGCTCGAAGGAACTTTCCAACTTTCTTTTATAATATCACTAATACGTTCGTGTTCCGTACATGAGTTGAATGACGTTACCTCTTCCATAACTTTAGACATGCATTTCGCATTTCGTGGAGTTGGTTTTTTCTGTCGACAACATAGCATGCAAGTAATTATCTTGTCTTTCTTTCAAACATTTAAATTATTCTGTTGTGGTTGTGATATATCTTCCTTTGTGTCACTTTTCGTGTCACTTTTGCATTCATTTTTTAAATTGCTATTTTTTATATTATGACACTTGCTATGATGACTATGATAGTTACATTAATCAAGTTTATCATTCTTTTTATTCTTTTTATGCTGGCTATATTATGGAATTCATATTCATTAGAAATAATCGTTCTCAATTTTCCTTCACTTTAGCGTTATTAATAGATTTCTCTCATTTTGCAAATTATCGTTAATAATTAATTCTAATTCTATCGTTTCTGAACTTATGATATTTGATGTCATATTTCTGCACTGCCATTATCACTTCTGTAAATTATACCAATTACTTTTTTTTTAGTTTCATTAATTTGCAATAATGTTAAATTGATAGAGAAATAACTAATAAGTTATTGACTCTTTTATTAATAATACAAATAAATAACAAAACAGACAATGTCCTAGATGGTTATAGAAGTCATCCACTGGATGTTTATATTGCGAACGATTTTATGAAAATTTTTACATGGAGATAAATTTAAATTTATAGCTGTCTAGAACATTGCCTGTTTTATTATTTATTTGTATTATTTATTAATTTGTTTTTCGTTTTTACGTAATATTTTCCTCACGATTATCTGACGATACAATTCGGAAATGTTCACGCTTATTGTTAATCAAAGTCATTGTATTTGCAATTTGATGACAATTTCTTAACTTTCTCTCTTTTAATTCTTATTCTGACTTTTTGTCAACGTTTTTGTATTTATCGAATGTTTGACTGCGATTGAAACGCTAGTTGAATATTGGTATCCGCTAATACTGTGAAGGATTTTCGATTTCCCATTTTGAGTGCGCATGAGATAGCGATGAATAGGCTGACAGAAAATCGGTCAGTGGATTATTTTTAATTCCATTAAAACCCATCTCAATCTCCATTGACGTTGCATCATCGTATTATCTATTATAAGATGAGTCTTTTCTAGAATGTTATAGTTGTTTTCGCAATTTTTATTTTAACTGTGGCCGATCCATCATCGACTGATGGCGACGCAAATTATTTGTATATATGCTTACTCCCTTTTTCATCAGATAAACTCGACGAGAATGACATCGCATTGTTGGCGGCAACACTCTGATCCCTTAAGTGATAATAATGCTCGATATCCATCTTCACAGCTTTCGCGGAGACACGCTCATGGAAATTTTTGTTATTAACATGTTCTCTTTTTTTCTAACTCTTCTCATCATTTCCATCGATGTGAAATAGATAGTAAAGCGTTGAACTCTGTCGATGTTAAAATGTTTACTTTTATTTCTATATTTTTTATTCCAATATACCGTTTTATTTATTTATTTTCATACTTTTTTTATGATGTAAATTAGTCAAGTGTTCAAGTAGAAAATCGGTCAAATCCGTTGTTTTTGTGTTTTAACCAAGATAATAAACCTATTTATTATAAGCAAAGTGTTATTGATTTTCGAATTAATGTCGTTTATATGCTCGTTTTGTGCTTCCAATAAATTAGACTGCTGCTTTTTCTCATTGTGTAGAATATTGGACTCAATTTTGTCACAAAATTTGTTGTTGAGACTTCCTCTTTGATACACCATGTGAATATGATCATATCTATCTTTCACGTTTTATTTCAGGTTCGAATAATTTCCGAAATATAAACTTTTTCTTATATTTTTCTCTCTCGTTCCTGCCTTGAATTCATATGACTCTACGGCATGAAAGGCATGAGATGCACAAGCTGCAGATGAATCTGCGTCTGTCCATTTTATGTGTTTCCATTTTGATATACCGTTCTTTTCCTGTCTTTTTACCTCCTGTTACACAGAAGTGCATACGCCGTGCATATACCTGTGAAGATGCATGTCGCAGTCCGGTATTCTCTTCATCGTTGTAGGATAACGATCCGTGCGTGTCGTGCGATACTGTAGGTTTATGAAGCATTCCATTTGTCTCGTAAACATGCTTCTCTCCCAAGGTAATCCGCAGTTTAGGTGCGATACATGTTTTTGATATTCCGATTTGTGCAATAACTTCGTATACGAATATTCAACATCCCGCAGTATTGATCTGTGGAATCAGATCGCATATTAAACATTTATTTCCGATAACGATGTACTACTATAGTTCGAATTCTTAATACAGAAAAATAAGCGATTTTTTCGGTTTCAAAATGTTACGTTATTTTTGTGTATCGTGATAGTCGATAAAATAAAAATGTTGGAATTGAGTGTACATAAAGATCAAACTAAATAAGGTCTACTTGGTACTTACTAAAATAAAATTATAGTTATCACACAAATTGTTTGTGCTGCTTTAGCCGCTCTTATTTTTGCTCTTGTCATAAAAATAAATAGCAATCCGACCGTTTAAAGTTCCAATAATCTTTGTTTTTTTTCTCGAATTTTCGTTATTGGTATATCATATTCTTCGTGTATTTAAGTGAAGGTCTGGATATTTATGCGAATCTCTTTACGTGGATTAATTTGCAAAAGTTGATAGTTATTTTCTTTTATTATTTATATATGATTTAACCATTTACACTTTTGTTGTTTAATTTATCATGATACTAAATGGAAACTACTTATTATCGGATAAAATAATTTTCCAATAGAAATAATAGGAGAAAAATAAGATTACTGAAAAATTTTTATTTCTTTCTTCATTTCTCAATAAAACATTGAAAACTGTTGCTTGTCATATTTTTATATTCTTTCTAGCAATTGTGAAAATATTTTGTTTTGCAAAGTTAAAATATAATTTTAAATGATCCTTTTATACACGATTTTGTTTAATTATTTGATTTTATTTATTATATATAAAATTTCTTTGATTATATATATAGTATATATATTTTAAAACTCTGAAATTTATCTTTTGGATAAGTCAATTAAGAAGCGGGAGTTCAAGATATATCGTTTTAAATCATTACTCGTTATACATTTAAAACTTGCGAATGCATTTGAACATAATTTTACGAGTATGCGAGTTGCGTAAAAGCAACATCAACTTACTTAAGTATAACATAAACTTTAATCGAGTACACTCATCCGGTAAAGATGAAGAAAGTTATGTAACAGTTTGCTCGAAGAGATCTCGATGCAGTAGCGTTGGATTTAACGAGAATTTAAACTATATTTATATACAACAAATATCTGAAGTAATATGTCTTATATTCCTTTTTAGCAACAAAGGCATCCGCCTCTTGTTCTTGGTTGGATGTTCCTGGTGCTGCCGTTCCTACCTGCATCCAATCTCTTTGTCACTGTGGGTTTTGTCGTGGCAGAACGGGTTTTATATACACCAAGGTAATTTTATTAAAATGTTACATTTTACTTTCGCAATTATTGCAACGGATGGCATGAACTTTTTATGTAATTTTACAGTGTTGGGTGGATTATTTTGATCGTCTACGGTATGCAGGTGAGCTGGACCGCTGTACCACGACGGAAAAGCTGGATCACTACAGGCGTAGTTCTCCTATTCGTTTTAGGATGTTTCAGAACGGTTCTTCGGAATAACGATTGGACATCTAGAGAAACTTTAATCAAGTACGTGACAACGGATTTACGTGTCTCATGTTTTATTAACTGTTCGAGAAAAGAAACTTTCTTGCTTTGAATAAAGTCCTCGCATTAATGGCAAACATAAATAATCGTTCATACATTGCACGCAATCGTATTTGAGCCTAGCAATTACGACAAAAATGATTTTGTCACGCAAAGACATCGTGGATATTTACAGGGAGTGTCTAGTTCTGATTTAAACAAGGAGATTGGTATCATGCCAGCATTATAATATATACATATATATATGTATATATATCATACGTTCAAGGATTTGGTACAAGCACCGATTGCCTATATGTGCAGGACGCAAAACATAACTAACGTAGATATGGGATGACGAGGGTGATAGGGGTCATGTCGAGGTCGAGAGGATGGTCTTGTCTGACCTCAAATCGTCTTGTTTCAGAGCGGGACTGCGGTCTCTACCCTACAATGCCAAGATGCATTACAACTTCGCAAACTTCCTTAAAGATACGTCTCAGCCGAACCTTGCGGTTCACCATTATCAGTTGGCTCTCTGGTAAGTCTGTTTCTCTTTCTCGCGCCCATATACAAAATCTCCAGATACATGTTACAGAGCAAAAGTGATGTTCATTTTCTTGCGGAAAAGTAACAATTAATATTATTAAAAACGTTTAAGCACTTTGATGTATTAATAATCGGGAGAATATAGATTTGAAGACATTGAATTACGTAAATTATTATTATACGTGATAATTACTTAAAACATAAAAATTACATTATTTTATATGATATGATATAATATACATTTTATGTATTATGTATATTCTGTGCCTTACACTTTAAAATAATTCAACTTGTTATTAATTAATAAGAATACTTCGTTAGATTGTCCATTTATTTTTGAAGTTTTATCTTTATAAGTACTTCACATTATATTGGACGTATCAATCATTATTTATAGCAACACACTAATTCGTCATAATTAAATAATTCAAACATGCGAGTCTCGCAAATCTGAATTGTATTTTATATAGACACTTATACAGCTGTCATATGTTTTCTCAAAATTGAATGAACAAACTTTTTACGTATTTAAGTAAAAATACTATAGTATTACAAATATTGTTGATATACACAAATACATAATATTAAAAATATATAAAATATTTGGAATATATAATACATACACAGCACGTAGTATTTACATTTCAAATCGTTCCAATAACTGCAACATGTATGTTAAGTTGTCGCTGTTAAAAATAATGGTATTAAAAAAGAAGCCCAATATTTCCAGGAAGTTTTTTACGTAAATGTACGAGAGAGATATTCTGATTACAAATATAGTTTACTAAAATAAGCAGAATTAAGTGAAAAGTGATTTTCGAGGCGCTGCACTGTTAAATTCGTAATGTCAAATTTAATTTAAGTTTTTAATTATTTCCATAGGTCTCTTTCACTCCACTGCTTCTATTCAATATATTGTTAATTTAACTAAAATAAGAAATTAAATAATTTAATACAAGAAAATGTATTAAATTTAGTTTATTATATTAAGATTTAATATTGTTTAGTTTATTATTTATTAAGTGTATACGTTAATAATTAGAGCCGTTATTTACTTTGAAATTAACTATAGAAATGAATCGATTTTAATATACACATGGAAGTTAAAAATATTAAAGTGTCATTTTTAATTCAAGGGATTGGATTACCATTGCTCTCGTTTGATATCTAACAGTGTAGATTTGTTTGATGATTATTTGAATAGCGATGATCTTCAAAAGATACGTGTGCTGTTATTGGCTGCGTTTAGTAGACTCAATAGTTGAGCGCTCGCTGCTATCGATGTATTCTTCTAGATTTAAAATCTGATTGAATAATCTAAAAGAATACACCACAATAACAGTGATCGATCATTACTCAACTATTGATTCTGCTGAACGTAGCTATTATTGTTTTATGTATGATAAATATGCTAAATTAAACTAAATTTCTGAAAATAATTTTCGCATTAATTAGTAACCTATATATGTGTAACCTCCGTGGATACCCAGTATATCTCGTATATTTCTAATACTGGTGACGCTTCTGAACAATTTGTACAGCTATTTTAGATATTTTATTCCACAAATCACTTAAAAATTTTTTATTATTTTATAATCCGTTGCGAATAATTGCTTTAAAAAAAGATTTTCAATTATCAATCGATATTCTGTAGAAAATTTCCCGTTTATTCCATTTTGTACTTACGTATCAATTTTGACAAAAATTATGGATGAGTGGAGATCAAACACGAATTCATGAATATGAATGTTGTTTTCTAAAAGAATGTGTTGTTACAGTACACATACGCTTGTGTCCTGCACGGTTTTATAACTTTTATAGAGAATATCGCGATGAAAGGGCAGAAAAAGTAATTAAGAAGATTTATTTATAAATTTCAGTATTACTGAGGAATTTTAATCAACTTTCAGCTTCGTACTGTCTGTAACTTTGTAATAATTCTTTCATCTTTGAAATAGATATATATAGACGGTAAAATTGATGCATAAACTCGACGGAACAATATAATTGCAAATCCATAATTTGCATTTTTTTAACTAAACCCGCCAATGCTTGTTTTCTACTTTACAGTTTTTACAATTTCCACGAAATAATGTTTTCACAGAAATCTTTCGAAACAGTCACATTTATATCGTATTTTATTTCACATCTTCACTTTTTTGCTGTTACGATCTATTTTCACTTACTTAATATGTATTCCTTCGTGCATAACACGACAGAACAGACGGAATATTATACAAGAGTAGTCGACGTAATACAATCTTATTACCACATCCAGACTCTTCTCTCTGCTTCAACCACCCTTTTCTACATCGCATTTCTCGTACATAGCGTGAGCAGGGTCGCAGCAAACCGACAAAAGTGCATTAATTAGCCGTAGCTCGACTGCGCTCGAAATGAAGTGGTAACCAGTCGTTCGTTTCTTTTTTATTTCGCTCTTCCCCTCTCTCTCTCTCTCTGCCGCTACTCCACATCTCTTCCTATGCTCCTGTCTGCGCGTTTTTTTACCTTACTTGTATTTCGTGAATTTCGTTATCCCGTCTAGTACAAGAAATGCTCAACAAGGATCATAACGGCGCAAAAAATAATGGTCTGTTGAAAAAAAAAAAAAAATAAGCACGCTCTCATTTCAAACTTCTGCAATGTGTACTTTTTTGCGATGTGTCACGCGATTCATCATCGGGCAATCGTCTGCGGTGTACCGATAAATCGGATCCCCATTCTCAGTACGTGTTACCGTGCGCGAACATGCTAGCGCATTTCGCAACATCACGCTTGGATTGTTTCATCGTAATACCAGATTATTTGTCTACGCGAATGCAATCAGTCCGGTAAACATATCGAGAGAATTGGTGATGTGGTGCGCGGGAAAAAAGCCGGGAATAGATGAGGAGGGGGCGGTGAAGAGGGAGAGAATTGGTCGGCACGACAGCAGCTGCAGCCCCGCTGCGTTGCAGAAGCGGGCGACTGCCGGATGAAAATTGCATTTCGGCGGTATACCCGCACTCGTCCAGTTCGCTCACTTGTAGATCTCATTTCCTACGCCGAGCTTTCTAGCCGTTCTCTGCAGGTCGCACCTCTTTTTTTTTTTTTGTCTTTCTCTCTCCCCCCTCTTTCCATTCTGGATCATCCTCTTTCTCACCACTTTTCGTTACCATCTCTGCATCGCGTCCTGCGGATCGACTATTATTGGCTCTGAAAAATCGAATCTTCAACTAACTGGCAATTTCCTCCGCTTGTTTTGTGCACCGAATCATCGCATCGTTCGCCTTTTCAGCTGTACGCATAACGCGACGCTGTGTAGGACATAGATTGGAGAAAGATCGCCTTTCTGCTCGTTTACCATCTCCTTGAAACAACGTTTTACGGCAACATCGCCTAACGTGCGATTCCATAAAACTCCGCTCGCGAATAATGGCTCGATCCTACTCGTGCATCTCGCGTTTCTACCGTCTCGCTGCGTCTCGTTCATTGCCTCCAACATTCCGCTTTAGTTTTGATCCTCGCGCGACGAATTAGTTTTCGATCTGTCGTACGAAATTTCCCCGAGGAGAGCCACGACAAAGTTTCTGCTCCCTCCGGAATATCGCGCCGAGTAAGTAATTTAAAGTAGCCTGAGATTGACCTGGTCCGTGCACGAGTAATAATTGAGCGTCACCGGAAGAACATAGAGTTCTCCCGAGGTGTTCGCTCCAAGGCCTTTCTCTCTTTTTTCTCTCTGTAGCGCTTATTGCATTTGTGAAAAGAATGGCGCTAGGTGTCCTGAGAATTATGAGTGAAAGATAAAAAGGAAGGCGAAATGAAATGAGAAGGGAAAGACGAGCCATATTCGATCGATGGAACGTCATAGAATCGAGGTAAGACGCGACTTTTCTGTTTGCTTTTCATTCGCCGGGAAAAGCAGACTGCGTATCGTGAAAATGCATTTCTTCGCTCTCTTTCATTCGTTTCTCTTCTCTCTTTTCGATTATTTTGGTATATAGTCACGTTACTTCTCAGCGTTACACTTTTTCGTCTTCTTGGTCGATAGCCATGAGTTAGAACTTCATGATTTGCTGCTATTCCTGTCAACATGCAGATCTATTTTATTGAACAATTTTGCATGTTTCTTTGTGCGTATAAAAAATTTAATTACTCTTTGTAAGCTCTTTATTTTTTATCTCAATAATAATATATATGCGCGCGTATCTGTAATTAAAATTATACCTACATTTTTATTTTCTCTATCTTTTTCATTATCTGGTTTTTAAATCAGTTTTTATCTTTTGTATTTAATTTTTAATTTAATTTGTGTTTTAGTTTTAATTTTATTTTTTATATCGTGTACTTTTTAGATTTCAAGTTTACGTTCTTAGACAGTATATTGCCTCACCTTTTATTTGTACATCTCTCTTCTTATTTTGCCGTATATTTTTTTTTCGTTATAATATTGACATCAATAAAGTTATTATTATTATTTCTTTTGTATGTAGAAGAGAATCCATTAGAGTATAATTAATTTTATAAATGAACAAATCTTTTTATTTCTCACTCTTTAAATTAAAAAAAAATTATTGCTCTTCGTAAAAATGATAAAAGGCTTATTTGAGAATAATTATAGTAGAAATTTGGCTGTTTAAAGGGTACATCAGCTTTAAAAATTTTCGGTTATAGTCGATATCATTATTTATGATTTGTGGCAAAACCAGCATCGCGATACACGTCATTTTCAGATGATGCATTGTTACTGGATCGTAGATACCGGCCGTGAACGAGATATATAAACCATCAGAATTTTACACGGACATTATACAGCCGTATATTTACGATAATGCATTATTTGATTGCAGTTTTACGACGCCGTGCTTTTACTATTATTCAGCCCGGAGCATAAAACCACGCTCGGTGTGTGCCGGTTCTGTATCTCGCAGTAAATCAAGTGCGAAGGAAATCCCTTGAATACGCTGATCCGCAATAAAAATTCTCAGGACAATCGTTCGTAACAGGAAACAT